AAACTAACCATTATATGTGAGGTTTTAAAAGAGAATAAACATATTTCTTTTAGTTTTTAGAGTAAATTACACGAATGGTCCCTATGGTTTGGGTAATTTGCACGTTTGGTCCTTAACTTATTTTTTTAACTTGGAAGGTCCTTACTGTTTGTTTTTGTTGCGAACTTGGTCCCTGTCTTAATTAAAAAGACTATTTTGCCCTTGATTTTTTAATTTATTTAAATAAACATACCCACAACTCCACTTCCACCTCACCTTACTTTACCTTAGCTACCGCATTTTATTCAAATAAATTAAAAAATCAAGGGCAAAATAGTCTTTTTAGATAAGACAGGGACCAAGCGTGCAACAAAAACAAGCTGTGGGGACCTTCCGAGTTAAAAAAATAAGTTAGGGACCAAACGTGCAAATTACCCTAAACCATGGGGACCATCGTGTAATTTACTCTAGTTTTTAAAAAATAACCACTTTTTCCGGAATGTCTATTTCCGGAGTACTGTTCATATTTTTTTAGTTTTTTTTTAAAAAAATTTTATATTTTCAAAGAAATTATTATTATTATTATTTTTTATTCCGAATGCTACATTTCGTAATGTTTAATGGCATCGCTTTTCAATAAAATGTCTAATTTTATGCATTCATATTGTATATAGTTCATATTATTATGTTTGTTTAACTTTTTGTTAAATTAAGAAAAAAAATGATTTTTTTCTTGAAATTCCAGAATTATTCTTCGGATTTCAGACTTGTTTTTATAATTCCGAATTTTTTTTTTCTAAAATCCGAAATTTTAGTCCGAAATCCGGAATTCGCTTCCGGAGTTAGTCAAAAAATAATTTTTTTTTCTTGGCTCGGAATGCCTCTTTCCGGACAAAGTGGTTATTTTTAAAAAAATAATAATAAATAAAAAATTGGGTTATTTTTTCATATACACCTTAAAAAGTGCTTATATTACTTAATTTCCCAAATATATACTTAAAGGTTTAACAGTTGTAAAATTTATTATTGAGTTGTTTAGGAAGGATCAAGGAAATTAACATACACATTGCTCCATGCTTCTTTTAAAATATATTATTGTAAACACATGGAAATTCAGTGATGTTTGTAGTGTTTGGAACTCTGAGCTACAGAGATTTCAGTGATGGATTATTATAATTTGCAGTGGTTATGGGGAGTCCCTTCTTAATTTATCAATTTTTTCCTTCAAAGATTCTTTATAAATATTTTTTATTTCTTAAATCATAAAATATTGGTGTACCCTATCGCGAAAGAAGTGAACCCCAAGTACCGGATGGTATTTAATAAAAAATAATATACAAAATCCCTGTAAATACACTCAAAAAATGTCGGTTACAGTAAGTTGTGTATTCAGTTTACTAACGAGCCAACTGTGCACCTATATATATGTATGAGATCGCGAGAGGCGTTGTTAATCAAATTTGGTCCATATTATAATTTTTTTATATCAAATGTTTTATGCATATTTTATATATTGAGATCGGCACATTAAGTGGAGTGAGTGATATAAAAAAATTAAATAATAATTTGGTGTTGTCAGCCAACTAATATCTATGTGATATTTGTTGGTAACTGAGATTCGCATGTTAGCATGCTTTTACAAGCCGATCAACACCTTCTTCTATTATCGTTGACCCCGTAACACAAATACAAAAGAAAACAAAATTAAAATATATTATATTATACTTTAACGCCGGTTGATGTTTTTACCGCTATTTACCAACTTTCAACTTCAAAAATGACATTTTCCAAACCTTGCCTCCTTTCAACTTTAAGAAATGACACCTTCCATCATTCTACTTTGTAAAATATCATTTTCAGTCCCTCGATTTTGAAATTTCTAAAATTTCAGTTTCATCCCCTCCTTTTTCTAAAGTTTCGTGTTTAACCCCATAATATTTTCCACTTTCACCCTTCATGTAACACCTGTTTTAATGACAGGTATTGTGATGTGAAATGCTACGAGATGCATTGCCAAAGAGAATGTGTTATATTTTAAGTATGGGAGAGCAACGTACTTTGAAATCACAACGCGAAGGTAAAGAAGAACATGGCGTGAGGGATAGTACAATGCTACAGTTTGAACTATAAAGAAGGTAGATTTCACGACTTAATGTTGTGATGCGGTGAAGTGTCTTGATAGGTGGGGACATGTAGTACTTTTTGACAAGTGTTGACACAAAGAGGATCCGGAGCTTGACTCGTGGGTCGTGATGCAACCATGTAGGGCTGTAAAACGGTTTTGGGCTAGATTCAAAAAATATATATGTTGTGTATGTATCATTCAGTGGGTTCTTTTGGGGGAAAAGAAATAGAAATGGATGCGAATTATAACGAAGTAAAGATATTGTAAACGTGGACGATGGTATGAGGTTATAGATAACCGAGTGAACCAAGGTCTGGACAAGTGATGAATTGGAAAGCAACACAAAGCTGGAGGCCAGATAAATAGGTAATCTTCAATAAATAACCATGCAAGTAACCACATTTCTCTTATAGATGAATGTTATCTAGATGTGTGTGTATTATAGTATTACATTATCTGCGTGATAAAACAATATTATGGTTAATGTTGTGGTGGTCTTGGTGACTGTAACACCACATTATTGGAATATAATAACGTTGTGGTGGTCTTGGTGACTGTAACACCATAACATTGGAATCAGTTAACTTTGTAGTGGTCCTTGTGATTGTAACACCACTGTATTAGAATCAGTTAACGTTGTGGTGGTCTTGGTGAGTATAACACCACTGTATTGGAATTATGAGTCACGATGGTAGCCTTGGTAGTTGTAGAATCATCATCGGTGGTATTAAAAGTAAATGGCGAATTTGGTGTCTGTAATGCTACACTTATATGATTGTTGTCATAGAGAAGTGGTAGATTATGTACTTATAATGCTACGGAAGAAATGTTCTTTGGAATATATATTAGTAAGTGTGGCTGTAAGTCCCATTATGAATAGTTAACGATTGGAATAATAGTTTGATTAGTAATGATCTAGATCATTAAGGATTTTTGTGTAATGATACAGGAACTAAGTATGTATTAATTGGTTAGAAAGGCACTATGATTTTATTGTCTAACATAAGCTCCATAATTGTATACATTTTAGATAAAGATAAACCGTTACATCCTTAGCCTAATAAAAGTAGTTAATCCACTTGTTTGGTGGGATATATATATATATATATATATATATATATATATATATATATATATATATATATATATATATATATATATATACACACTAGTAGGATACCCGCGCGATGCGGCGGCGATAATTTGTTTCATTCCGGCGGTTAGATTTTGTCCAAAAATTTGTTTCCTTTCGGTGGCTGTCAAATCCGTTTCCTTTCGGTATATAGTTTCCTTTCCAGAGGCTCTGTTATTTGGGTTTAAAATAAAAGTAGTTTATTATTTCGTTTTAAATGTATGTGGTTTTAATTAAAAAGAAAATGTGTTATTGTTTTGGTTTAAAAACAAATGTACATTGTTGTAGTGATTAAAAAAAATACCAACTCTTTAGGTTATACTTTATTATGAAAAAAAAAAAAAAAAAAACTAATAGGAATGAGGTACTTTTTGTTTCACCATGCAAAAGAAACAGAATAATGTAAGAATTAACTTCTATTTAACAGGTATTACTTTGGTTTCTAACATATTTTAGGTTTCACTTATTTTAACATTCCAATATTTCCAATATCCTAGTTGCATCCAAAATTTTAGAATATGATGAAGTTGGAGCTCTCGTAATGCAGCGCACGGCGAATAGTGAAGATTAGTCAATTTTAATATTGATTTATAATTATTATTATTACTTGTTAACTATGTTATAAAATAAATGGATATTAAAAAGAAAAGCACAATTCAACAAATAATTTCATTTGATAGGTTCTTATTGATGTGTTGTTTTGTGTTAAAAAGAAAAATTTATTGATGTGTTGTTTTGTGTTAAAAAGAAAAATACATTGTGAGGATTTAAAATATGGTATTTAACAAAGGTGTGATTGGTTTCTTAATTTTTTTGAAAATGAATGGAAATATATTATTGTCAGGTGAAAAAACTATCCTTTTATCTGTAAGTTTATGTTTCATTACGAAGATCAGTCAATTTTAATATTGGTTTGTAGTTATTATCGACAACTTTTTAACCATGTTATAAAATAAATGGATATTATCGGTAAATAATTTTATTCTGACAATTAGTTTCTTTATGGGTAACATTGATAAGTTCTTATTGATGTGTTGTTTTGTGTTAAAAAAAACCGGTTCACGATCCGAACCGGTAAACCGGTTCATAATGAACCGAACCAATTCAAGAACCGAAACGCATGTTTGCACCCATTCGAGATTTTAGACATTGAAACCGGTTTAGAATCGATTGAACCGGTTTAGAACCGATGTAATCAGTTTAGATAGGTTCGAGTTTTTTTTATGATGGAACCGGTTTGAACTGAACCGATTTATGAGTAAACCGGTGTTATTATTCTTGAATCGAAACCGAAGTAAACCGAACCGGTGTTATTATTCTTGAATCGAAACCGAAGCGGTTTACTGAACCGGTTCAGTTTGAAAAAAAAAACGGTTTGTACACCTCTAGATTGTTGTTTCTTGCATTTAACTCGAAATTTACAAGATAGGAACCCACCATAAAAAATGAAATAAAAGAGTGTAAGAAAAATATAAGACCCACATCATGCAAACTTGTGTATAAAACAGATTAGCTGAAAATTACAAAAAACGCGCATCACACTTTGTTTTTTCATTCACTTAAGACCCACATCAAACAAACTTATGCACAGCTCCACCATCCACGACTCCCCATCCGTTTGGTTTATATTAAAAGTCATTTGCTGCAGATATTACAAAAAAAAAAAACTTATAATTATGTAAAAAAAAGTAGATTGCTATTTCTCATATATACCTTAGCTTTGGAATGCGTGTCTGACAACATTTGCTTGTTATCCTTTGCAATCTAACTGTTTTCAAAACCCACAAAGCGCATCTTGAACCTTCATATTTTCTCACGTGAACATATTTATCATAAAGCAATTGATACCAAAAAAATACATTTGGTATTTTCACATTAAATATCAAAATACGAGTGTACTCATCGAACCGCAACCAGTAATACTCGAATAGGTCCCGTATTCATAAAATCGGTCCACTTACGATCCCTAATTTTGGTCATTGTTGGTTTTCGGTTCTTCCGGTTCAGGTCGGTTCCGGACCGAATAACATCCCTAGAACTAAGGCCACCTTCCACATCTATCATTTTTATTTGGAAACAGATTATTAAAACTAAAGAACCAACATAATGAAGTTGAGTAGTACCACTTTAACAACATATTGAAGTGGAGTAGCATCATCCTACCACAAGGATATTTCTATAATTTAAAAAAAAAATACATTAATAATTAGTCAAACTTTGAAAAAGAGTCTCATTAGATTTCAAATGAACAGACTTGTACCTTTTTATAAAAAAATATAGGTAAACACCTCAATTTTTCCTTATAAATTCCATGTGAAGGGCGACCAAACCATCATGTTTGCTAAAAGTTAGCAATGTACTTCCTTTACCTTTTTATCATAGAATTTTACTTTCATTTTCTTCTATTACCAACCTGCTTGCAAAAATGAAAGTAGGATGTTATAATAAAAAAAAGGTGAGATGCTATTTCTTATATTTATTTAATCATAGCATTTTACATTCATTTAATTTCCATCGGTTTTCCTCAGCAACCAACAAAGAAACTAACATCTAGTAATCAACAAAATGGAGCACCACCAAATCCAAAATTCAACAGAAATAGGCAAATCCACCTGGGCAAATACACACACATTGGGCTATTAGTTTTACCTCAACTATTCGTATAGTTTTAACTCAACTATTGAACGTCAATATCTATAATATTTAGGTTAGTAGTCAACTATATAACATGAAAACATAAAAAAAAAATTCGGTTGATGAAAAAAAGAATTGATGAGATTTTTAACAGATAACCACACACACACACACACACACACACACACATATATATATATATATATATATATATAATGAATATTTTTCATTAATACTCGAATTAATGAGATTTTTAACAGATAACCACGTTCACACACATATAACTTTGTTCACATCAATATTTGTCCACTGCTTGAATGTTATAGAGCACCCAAACAAACAGACATAATAGAATAATTACTCTTATTAACTAAACTAAAGAGAAATAGAAGAAAAAGTAGCACATACTCGGAGTCTCTGCAACCATTGATCCAGTACCTTCTGTTATGAGACTTTGCTAGGCATTTTTTGTTGTTTTTTTTCTTGGCTGCAACCATTAGTAAGATTTTTCCCTTATTTCTTCTTCTGTGAAAAACAGAAATTAACCAGAGAATAAAAAAACAAAAAAATGAACTTGATATACCAAAAAGCAAACAATCAAACCAACTCAAAATTAGTGAAACCTGAGATATCCAAAAACAAAAAAGCTAACCGGAGATTTCAAAAAAACATACCTATTTGACTTCAAATCACCTGAAACTTGAATCAACGGTCTTCAAGTTTCCCATTTCGTGAAACCGACCACCAACTTATGTTTGAAAACACCTACAAGAAAAAAGTTATAAAAGAAACAAAATAATGACTTGTAAATAACAGGGGATTACCTCTGATTAGGCTATATAAGTTGTCTTTAAGAGATGAGTCTGATAGTTCCTTTCGGCAGATAGTTTTCATGCGGCGATTAGTTTTATTTTTGTGTCAGATAGTTTGTTTCAGGCTGTTTCGGGTACCCGCGTGATGCAGCGCGACAATACTTTCGTTCGGCAATTAGTTTTCAAACAGCAATCAATAATTTTTAGCTGACTTTTTCATGTTAAAACAATCTCAAGAATGGATTCAACATTTAGCAACAAAAAAATGCAACTTGTTAAACAATAATTACTTTTTAGGGTCAATTCAACACCACAATAATTATAAAGGCATGTACTTGCAAATCATTAGATGACAATTTTCCATCTCATTATCAAATTACAATGTTGTAATCTTAATGGGGATCAGACAAAGTAGTTACCTGTATAGGAGCATTGAAACTTAAATAAATCCAAAAATTGTCATCGAATATTTGGTGGGAAACTATTAAATTGATGGACTTTACCTACAAGCTCAACAGATAGTGGTGGTAAATTAAATAATACTCGAAGAAAAAATATGCACTAAAGAAACATACCAATCGACCTTCATAAGTGCATATAACAATCGCCACCATATTCTGGGTGTTGTGTCACCCACCGCCACCACCTGTTTCCACAACACCTGTATTTGAGCCCTAGAACGTGAAATCGAAACACACATGTTAACATACACAAAGTAAGAACATAAAGAAACTCTTGAATAACCCACCTCGATCCGGTTTATACTGTGAGATGTCTGGTGTCGATGGTGGATCCACTTTAGGGTTAGGGTTTCAGGTGTGCGATGGGGGCGTTGATGGTGGCAGGGAGATAGAGTTAGGGTTTCTCGTCTCGACATAAGGTAGAAGCGGTCAGCAGATGCCAGTGAAGGTAACGGCAGCATCACAAGGTTGGTGGTAAGTGGTAACCGAGGCAACCAGAGATTGTAGAGAGTAAGGAGGGAGACAGAAGAGATCTGGGAGAAATGACGGCTGACGGAAGGTATTAGGTTTTCCAACATCTAGACGGAGAAGCTAAGACCGTGACGATACGCGTGTGTATACGCTTACAATACATTATAAGCTTAATAGTATTGTACATGGTGTTATAAGAGTTATACCTTTTAATTTTCAAGAAACAGGCAATATGTTTAATAATACAGTAAATATATATATATATTTGTTGCCGCATAATTCCAAAATTTTTATAAAGTAAATAGTTTTTTTAAAACATCATATAATAGACTGCAAGGTCTATGTTTTATCATATTCAAAAACTTGTATTACCGTCATTCAACTAGTGGCTGATAGGTTTTATAGGTTACAAATATTCATGTGGCGGAAAATAACTTAACTCTTAAGTTCACATGCAACCTAATTGGATCTATGTTTTCACTATTGAATGCTATAATTTATTTAACATCAAGAACCCTAATGTAAAACTAGTAAAATCAAAAAACATAAAAGGTTTAGGGTTTACATACCTTCTTGATTATTATAGTAAATAATCAAATAAATTCTTCTTGAAAGGAAGTGGAAACTAGAACCAGAAATCTCATGTCTCTAATGGTTTGTAGCCAAACCTTAGCAATTACATTACTTTGAGGAGAGAGGAGATTTTCATTTATTCTTTTGAGAGAAGGAGTGGCCAAAAATTGGATGTCAAATGTCCTTATTTATAGCTGATAGGAAAACCCTAGAAACCCTAATTTTAAATAAAATAATATTATTTTAAATCCGGAATTATCTAGTTTCCTAATTATCCATACTATCTGTATAGAAGGATCTAGAAACCCTAGGGAGTCTCCAAATTTTGGCCAACCCCAGGAATATTCTAGAATTCCTCTCTTGTTCAACTATTGAACAATTATTGCTTTAGTCCTTGCACTTTCAGTTAATCTAATTAATCCCAATTAATTCCATTAATTTCTGACTAATTCTTAATTTAATAATACAATTTCTAATTAATATATTATTCTCACAATATATTATTTTCGCAATATAATATTAAATCATTAATTTCAATAAAATTATCTTATAAAAGATCAATAAATCAACCTCTCTCCTCAAAAACCATTCTAATTATTTACTAGGTTTGAGGGCAACCCCACAAGACTTTGTTAATAGTTCAAGTATATATCAATTTAGTTATTGGCTTAGACACCTAATCCAATAGTTTCTAGGTGACCCTATCCCACTAGAGAATACGAAGGCTACCACGAACATCAAAAGATAGATCCAAGTGACCAAGTGATCCTGTGCCACAAGAAGCATACTAATGACGAGTGAGTGCTTTTGACGGAATAAGTTGTGAATCGATTCCACAACTCCTAAGATGTTCCAAGAAGACTTGGTTCACAAAACTAATTTTCTTTATTAGAACAAAAGGTTGATGGCAGTCTCATTAAGTTGTATTTCAATCTTAACTATGAAACAATTTAAGCAAATCAAAAGTTTCAACAATAACGAATAAAGGTCGTCGCTGAAATTTACTAAGTATCTATAACCAAATCTATTTGTAGATTGAAAATATTACATACATAACTTATGTATAATTCTTTATCAAACATTTTATTCTTTAACTACTAATAGATAAAGACACTTGCGAATCATATTCCCATATAAATAGGATTCATATATATATATATATATATATATATATATATATATATATATATATATATATATCAAATGAATCAAGCTCATTTGCCTTCAAATATTCCATCATTTTGAAGTTGGTATATGTGTTTCATATTTATATAGTTATGATGATTATGACATAGATAAGTTTCAATCAAATATCATTTGATTATTTAGGTGTTATCGTTAGAACTATCAATTTAACGAAAGATTATAGATTTACTTCATAAATGACATTATGAGAAAATATTCTTTAATACTAAATACATCGTTTCAGAACATGAATGTGAACATCCATTAAAAGATAAATAAATGTGGATTTATTCATAAATTTACAAATGTTATATGTCCCAATAATAATAGGTACAAAAAACATCTATTGTTTAAAGAAAGACTATAACATCACTCGTTATATATTCATCACGAAATACCATTCGTTTCTAATCAGTTGATTATTTGTTCCAATCATCAGCAGATAATATCAATTATTAGTGTCACCTGAAATATAAAATACTCAAGTGAATGATAGAAAATAAATAGTTCTATCATAAAGATATCTGAACTCTTAATCATGTCAGACTTCCTCAACTTGGTGAGATTAGAGAAGCAATTTCTCTCTCAATGTCTAGTTTCTTCCACAATATAAACAACATTAATCATTAAAAATCCTTTCTTGATTTCTGTGTTTATGTTGTATTTCCCTTAACTAAACTATTGGTCTATTAGAGTACACAATCTCTTAGACATCCTTTATTCAACGCTTGAACAGACTTGAAACAGTTTATACTGTTCTGATTGAATATCTGCTTTATTTCATGAGACATTTGATATGTTTCATAATTATCCAAGACTTTCTTCAAGTCAAGGTTAATTACTCTAGTATGATGTGAGACTCATCAATATCATCACAGTAATACTTCCATCAAAGTATCATGATCAGATTGACTGACATGTAGAGGTAATTCATGTATGAGATCTTTCATTATATATAATTTCCATTGATCCTTAAGCTAAAACTCACGATATTATACCAGTTATATAAATTATACCCATCAAATGTTACTGTCTCTTGATACTCAACAAAAGATAGATTTTACATGTCGTATGAGTATTAACAGTTATATACGGAATTTAACAAAGTTTCATTTAGTATTTTCAATATTTAGTCTTTAAAAATTAATGCATTTTATTGTTTCTTAAAACATGAATTTACTAAAGTCTAGGATCCAAGTAACAAAACAAGTAAACGATTAGGTGAATTTTATCCCATAAACTTCATCAAACTCGGTAGGCAGCGATTACCAATTGCATAGGTTATGTAACTCCTTGATAATGGGATCCTAATCAACCATTGCTTAATTTGGTATGTTTATCCCATCTATGCCTCATAACTCTCATGATTAGGTGACCTTTATCACACAAGATTCTGATCAAGTCATCGTATTTGAAACAACTTATTGTATTGCAACTAACTAGTGACAAGGTGACCCTTTAGACACCATAAACTACAAAAGTACCCCGAACGTCATAAGACAATCCTAATGACCAGGTGACCCTGTGCCGCAAAGACCATACAAATGATACCGTGTGTTCTTCAAAAGGACGGCAATGACTTATATTTTTAAGAAAATGTTTATATATGTTTTACTATTATAGTTTATAAAAACATGGTCTTATGAATATTACATGCATCCAACAATTCATGTACTCTTTTGTAAAATTCATATCACTTTTTATGAGGTTTTTTAGGTGCAAAATAAAACTTCATTTTATTTTCCATTAGCTGCAATCAATTATAAACTAAAATCCGGTATTTTAATGTTTAGTCGTAGATCGGTTTTAAGAACCGGTAATAGGCTAAATAAAACTTCATTTTATATTTAAGACTTGGAGTTTTGGATGAGTTCTAAAATCACAATTTTAAATCTCCTTTTAATAATCAGAATCTCATGACTTCATGAATTTGTAGAATAAACTTATTTTATTTTATGAACTCAATTTTATGCATCTTATGATAAAAGTCATATTTTGATAAACCAAAACATGGGTGATGATACTTATGTTTTAAATCTTATTTGGCATGCATAAAACATAATGTCAACATATTGTGTTATGTTTAACACACCAATATCATATATTAAGTTTTGACGCAATAAATAATCATTAGTTTTATTATTTGCCGTTATAACGCTATAAACCGATTTTGGTCTTTTTAATAAAAAAATAAGTTATTTATTATAAAGACATGGAGTTTATATAATGTTTAAACACCTTTTAAACCATTTCAAACATTTTAAAGTTGTGAATTTATAAGTTTTGCAATAAAACTATTTTTAACAAAAAATCATTTTTAACCAATAAATCGGTAACAAGTAATTTTTTTTTTATAAATATCAATTTATAAAACATCTTATGCTATATTTTAAATATTTTTTTACCAAAACTTCAAGTGATATTATCTTATATTAAAAGGTGTTTGACATGTAAAACTTATTTTTATACACAAAACATAACATACAATAGATGTACGTCATGCGTAGAGATAAGTGTACACCGCGCGTAAGTCAACGAAAGGTTGACCGTTAACTTTTTGACCAGTTTGACTTTTGGACAAGTGTGAGGGGTTGAGGACTTGAAGGGAAAAATGGTATTTTGCTCAAATGAGGATTTATCTTGGTATTTGGAATTGCTAAGTTGGAGTATTTACCTTAATTGCTAATTAGGGTATGGTTGTGGATATGTTTAGTGGGAGAGACTTTAGCACCGACACCTCGTGTGTGAGATCTATTCGTTTACCGATCAAGGTAAGTCTTCTCACTATACTTGTGGGTCGTAGGCACCAATGTCGGCCCACTGGATTGTGTTATGTAGAATGCTAGGTGTCAGTGTTGATGGATTATAAGCATAACATCATTCCTATGGTGTTCATGCAACCCTAATTGCTTTTATCTAAGTTTTTCTAATTAAACATACAACATTGAATACCAAAGCAATAAACCCTAGATCTAGCATGTGATAATTGATATTAACATAAGAATAGGATTTAGATTTTTACCTTGATTGTTATGTAGCAATAACAATCTCAATTCCTCCTTGTAATTGGCTTCTGAAAGCTTAGTGTCACAAATGTCACACCTATAATGGCTCACAAACACCAAGAGCAAGAGGATGAAGAAGGAGAAGAGGAGAGGCACTCAAAAACGTCTAGAAACCCTAAGAAAACTCTTAGCCACGTTTTTGGTGCCCTAGGGGTTCTTAAATAGTGAGGCTATTAGGGTTATCTAACAAGGAAACCCTAATTTGACTGCTTAGGCCCTAAGCAACCCATGGACTCCCTCCTCAGAGGCCTTGGACGATTTCTAATGGGTTTCCCCATAGAATTCGTCCACTCCTCTAATAT